GGTTGTCCTGGACCGCTACAGATGCTCCAATGGACGCTGAGGACGACAGGAGGTGAGCGAAGGTCTTACTTCCTCCTCTTCTGCCGAAAAGCAAACGTCTTTCTTTCGATAAAGTGTCCTTGATCTGATGAGGATTATATTGTTGAACACCACAGTTAAGAGACTTCTGTGCCTAAAAGTGTGTGGGTCTGAAGACTGAGAGACATATTCCAGCTTTCTTAATACTCTCTCTTACCAAAGTTAATATTTATTTGTCGCATCGGATATTCATTGCTTACTTACTTTGGTGGCTGTAAAATTCCTCCTCTCTCTGCATTCACTTGTAATTGAGGTAACGGGGATCCATTTAGGACTTTGGAATAAACCAGTGTTTCCCCTAGGTTTACTGCTTGGGGGGGGGGGGGGGCAGATCCTGTGGAGCAGAGAGAGGAGCTGTGGATTATTGTTATTGATTAATGCATCAGTGTTTCTTAGGGTCAAAAACACTAAACTCACAACTTAAAATGAAAGGGTTTAGTTTATGTTATAAAAGAGCACATGTTCAATGTGAAAAGTGACAGTAGATATAGATTAGTTGCAATTTGGTGCTATATATATGTATATATATTGTAAAATTAAAATAAAATAAAAAAATAATTATAATTCTTTTTTTTTTAAACACCTTGAATTTCAGGGGGGGTGCGGGGCTCCGTTGGCGGGGCACAGGGGAAACACTGAAGCACTAATTAAGTTAAGATCAGATTTTTGTATACTCACAAATGTAACATTTATTTGACGATGTAGCATTGGACATTTTTGACTTTTAAATGCTTCCAAAGCTTACTGTTAACTCAATTCAACCTTAGTTTACTGTTAATGAGGTGTCCTTAATCTGTTGACTAAACACTCAGGACATTAAAATATCACAAAATAGAAATACATAGACACTGGTTATTGAAGTTAAAAATGTAATTGTTGTACAATATAAGAAACTTGTGTTAATTGAGCCAAGAGTATGTGGCTGAAGAGAGAATCGTACAGCTAATAGCAAAAGTAAATAGTTATTTGAATCAATGATTACTGTTTGCTTCTACTTCCTCATCTCTTCTGATATACTTGTTTACGTTGACCATGTTGCATTGGACATTTGGACAATCAATGCTAATAGAAGTGTGAGTGTTACATAGTGATGTCATTATGTGACGGAAGTAAACAAAGGAATCCAATGGAGGCGTTTGAGGCATTGGACATTTGGACCATTAATCAGAATCAGGTTTATTACCAGGTAGGTTTACACTTACGAGGAATTTGACTTGATGTCGTGGTGCATACATAAAACTAGTCCGAACAGGACTGGGATGGTCTACGAGGTACCTGCGACTCCTGCTGGTCTCCACTCGACTCCAGTGAAGGAGGAGTTTAGGACGGCTTTCCGTTTTGAGAAAGAAGCTATTCCACAGGACTAGACTACCCTAATATAACACTTGGTGTCAATTCTCTGAAGAACGGATTTCGCACCCAGACTTCTGACTTCTCTTATAAAGTCGAAAATATGAGAGAAAAAATGGTTTGTCAATTAGAAATAAACAGCGTAGCCCTATAGGTAACGAATGATGAAACCACCGACATTAAGGAGGAGAGAGACGTAAAGTGAACATTATCCATGCCACCTAGGTGAATCCTGAACCTTATTTTGTCACAAAGGGGATCCAGATTGACGAAACCCCCCCCCCCCCCGCGCGTCTAGACACCTCGTCTCCTCTCTCGACACCTAATAACAATAAACTAATTAACGTAGTCACAAAGGAATCCCAGTTTTTTGTGATTTTGAGTGTGTATTTTACTTTCCAATCAAATACATATTTTCTCGTGTACAAAGGTTACACTTTTCACGTCATCTATATCTAATCAACGTTAAACCACGATATATATAAATATATATAAATTTTAATTTTAATTTATTTTTTTATTAATATTAAGAAAAAAAAAAATTTTGTGGACTTAAAAGTACCCCCCAACGCCCGAGGCAACCGCCCGTGTCCCCTTTGTGACTTCGTGATTAATTCAATTCTAGTCTAAAACCATATGAGTGTTTACATTGTAATAAAATGCTACATCGTAACCTGTAAAACTGAAATTTACGAAGGTTTCGAATGACAATTGAAGTTAAGGTTTAGAATCAAATGACAATTACTCCACATCTGAATTTAGACAACTGATTTGTAGTCCTGTAATCTTATAGTGTTTTATCTTTATGTATCTGTGCCAATTACTCAATTTTTACATTAACAACATGTTATATTCTTTGAACACATTACTCGGTTCTCATTACACCGACTTCTCTCTTAGCATGTCCGATTATCGTCTTTCATTTATCAATAAACTAAGTTACTAATGACAAACGAGAGATAGAGGCGTAAGAAGACTATATGACAAATGCAACTGGTACAACGTACCTGCTGTAAACCTGTAGTTAACGATTATCTTCACACTCAACAATGTATCACTACAGTAATAACACTACCTTTCATTTTGTCTTTACCTTAGGTTACCCTCTGCAAACTTCCGTAACCTGTGTAAACCTGGTAATTGTCTTAGTCCAAATATGGTCCATCCAAATGTGAATGCTCCTTAAACTGAACTACAAGCACCCACGTATGTAATTTTTGTGTCTATGTCTCGATTTCTTTTATAATTTTTAATTATGTTTTATATCTCCTCTTTTTGGGTAGTAGCCGCGAGACCATAGGAGTATATAAAACATAATAAAATTTATAAAAAAGAAATCGAGAC